TAAACCAAAACACTGGGATAGCAATGCTTACTAAAACACTTTCCAGTGGGTGGGACCAGTTGGAAAACATAGAAGGTGTGTGTTATTTTAAATATGGCATACATAAAATATGGCTTTAACAAACAAATGACTGTTTTAAAGGACCTTTTGTTTGCTTATACTTTATTTTTGAATAAGTGGTCCTTGTCACATTGTGATTTGAAAGCTAATACATCAGTTCACATATATTAAAAACTCACCAAACTTAATGCCAGTGAGCCAATTTTGATTCATAGCGATCTTGTTGAGGGTTTCTGAGGTGGTAAATCTTTCTGGGAGCAGAAAGCCTCATTTTCCTCCACTGGAGTTGCTGGTGGGTTTGAACTGCTGGCGTTACAATTAGTAGTACAGTGCTTAACCTACAGCACCACCAGCGCTCATTCCTCAAGTCATGGGCTTTAGGATACATGATAGCTTTGGGGGCTGTGTTCCTGGAGGTATGCATACAACAGTGGTTCACAGATACTAGAAACAGCTCAGAAATAACATACATTTTCTTCTGAACACATTTCTAGGGATGTCTTGGAATGGCATTTGCTTCAATATGTCCTTTGCAAGAGAAGGTACCCTTCTTTAATGCACAAAGTATAAAGGATGAGATTATGCTGCTATGTGAAGAACTGTTTTTCCCACTGAAGCTGCCACAGCTGTGAGAGGTTATGTGTTGTGTTTTCTCAGTATCATGGAGACTGGGAAACTCTGGCGAGACAGCTGAACAGTACATGGCCATTAGAGGCAGACAGACCTGTACGTCTACCCCCCACTCTACTAGTTAGTGCTGGGTGGACCAATAAAGACACTTAACTTCTCTGAGCTTTGGAGTTCTCATCTGAAAACTGGGCGATTTCACTTACTTTCCATGTTGTGGGACAGATGTAAAGCTCCGAGGATCATGCGTTCTCACACAGAGTGTTCAAGAAATGATGCAGCAAAACATTCATTAAAGAACTTTTAAGAAGAAGAAGAAAAATATCTTCTACCCAATGTGACATCTATTGGTACCATGAGCAGAGGAGAACAAAGTTTGCTTCTTCATTTGCACTGTTATTTATAGAAATGAGAATATATAATCTGCAAAAGGTTGTAATTGGTTAAAACACTGGAAAGTGTCTTGAGAACCTTGCCATTTTTCTTTATTGAAACAAGTGAAATTAAAGAAATATAGAAGAAGGCAAACCCTAGAAGAATTTACTGGAAAACAACAACAACAATAACAACACTTGAATTCTCTGTATGTGTAACAAAGGATTTCATTTAACATCACACGTATTCACTCAGAATACATATAGAGCACACTAGGAAGTTTCTGCATTGCAATTTTTCCGGTAATGTTTTTAATCAAATCAGCTGAACAATCTTTCTAAGTTTGCAAAGACAAAGCAAACACAATTAGATCATTTCCTTTAAAGAAAACCATACAAAATTAACTAACATGTGCTCCTATAACACAGAAATAATGCAAATTAAAAAGCAAAATGATGATCAGTTTAATATATACTGCATATGTTTTTGTTAGATTTCTATATATCAATTGTATGTGTATAGGGAGGGCATGGGTCATGGTCTGCCAATCAAACGAACTTGGACTATAGTCATTTTATTGGTGGGATGTGAGAAGTAATAAGACTTCATTCTGCTCCTTCAGCTTGAAAGCGAAGGCATACATCTGTCAGTCACATTATTTATAATCCATAGAAAAGCTAAGTAACTATGACTAGGTTGGCATGAGAATAAGGCACGTAGCAAGCAGCAGCAGTCACTGCCACCGATGATGAGACAGCAAGGAAGAGGATGGAAGTCATGAAGAAAAGTGAAGAAGTGGGGGGACTATCTCTACTGAGCTCCTAATTCCTACAAACCCCATGAAAATCGCTTTTTATGAGGGAACGTCAAAAAACTTTGTGGAAAAATTCCATTATCTTTTTTTCCCTTACAATTTTTTTTTTTTAATTGTAGCAACATATAGACAACACAGCATTTACTATTTCAACCATTTCACATGTACAATCCAGTCACACCAACCACAGCCCATGTTGCACAACCATCCCTGCTATCCATTTCCAAATCTTTTTCCCCCTTTTTAACTCTCATTCCTCTTCTTTCCTTTCCCTTTTTTTGTTTTTGGGAAAGCTCCCATTGGTTTGTCCTAATGAGAAAATAAGTATATCTTGTTTCCCTTCCAGTACATGAAAGACAGAAAGAAAAAAATAACAAAAAAGGAAGCAATTTCCTTTTTTTCTTCCTTTTCTTTTTAACTGCTTTCTTCAACACCCAAGTTAGCATGTATCTACACTACACCCAGTTAATAATTCTCCCTTCCCTGTCAACTCTGGGAACCATCACTAAGAGTTTATTATAGAATGAAAAACTTTTCTTGACTTTTTACAGTAATAGTCTCATAGAGTTTGTCCCTTTGCGACTGGCTAATTTCACCCAGCGTATGTCCTCCAATCACCAGTAATGATCAAGACATCTTGATTGCATGTTTAACCAATTTCAGATTGAAGAAGTTGGTAGAATTCTTCCATTTCATCCTCACTGGCTTTAGTGGTTGGTGTGTAAATTATGAATAATAGTGGTATTAACTGGGTTTCACTGTTGTTGTTGTTGTTAAGTGCCGTAGAGTCGGTTCAGACCCATAGTGACCCTGTATAGGGTTTCCAAGGAGTGACTGGTGAGCTTGAACCATCAGCCTTGCAGTTCAAATGGCTTTGCAGTCTGGTGCATTAACCCACAGTGCCACATTGGGCTTCTCTGTAGACGCATGGATATTATCCTATCACAGACAGTGTTGTACCTCATGACTGATCTGGAGATGTTCTTTTTGACAATGAATGCAACACCCTTCCTCTTCAATATGTCATTTCCGGCATTGTAAAACATGTGGTCATCAGATTCAAAATGGCCAATACCAGTCCATTTCAGCTCACTAATGCCTAAGATACCGATGTTTATGTGTTCCATTTCATTTTTGACAACTTCCATATTCCCAGATTCTTACTTCATACATTCCATGTTCTGATTTTCAATGGATGTTTACAGCTGTTTCTCTTCATTTTGAGTTTTGCCCTATCAGCAAATGAAGTTCCCATGGGCTTTACTTCATTTTGAGGAGGCAACTCTTCCCCAGTCACAGCTCTTCCCCAGTCGGTTCTCTGGGCAAATTATTGAATGATGCAGTAAGCATCAAGAGAAGATGGAAGGAACACAGGGAGTCACTGTACCAAAAGGAAATGGTTTATGTTCAACTGTTTCAATAATGCCTAACATTTTATAAGTACCGGACTGCTTTGATTATTGTAGCTTTATAATTTATTCTGAAGCTGTAAAGTGTGAGTCCTCCTACTTTGTACTTCTTTTTCAAGATTACTTTAGTGGTTTGGGGTCCCTTGCAGTTTCATATAAATTAAAGGATTGAATCTTTCCCTAGTTACAGTAGGTATGTTTTTTGTTGACTCTTTGCAATTTTCTACATAAACAATCATATCATCTGTTCATGAAGACTTTTAAAAATACTTGAAATTGTGATTGCTTTAATATCGCAATAGAATTGGGGCATTGTGGGATCTGCCAATGGGTAGAGAAAGGAGAATCTTTTATAGTATATTTGAAGAAAGTGCTGGGCAGTATGATACTTTGTTCCTGATGATACTCTACCAAGTCTGGCTAATTTGATAGACAGGTTATACTGTATATTGTTCTATAATGTGATCCCATAGCCTTGTCGTGAAGTAGGCCACAAGAAACATCACTATGCAAACCATCTGTGTATTTGATGTAATGATGGCTTTTCCAGAAGAGTCCTTGAGGGATCAACTCTATTATGAGTAGTTTTTTTCTGGACCAAATGGTGTGCTTTTATCCATTGGTATACCAAGTGAGATCCGGGTATCAGTGAGAAAGGCCCTCTCCATAGGGACTAGTTTACCACTGATATTGTTTATAATCACTAGCATCTGATGATGACAAAAAGCAAATCAACTTTTAGTCTGTTTCATTTCAGCTTAGGAATTTTCTACATAAAATGCACTTTCTTATTGCCTAAATCTTAGGGTGGACTATCCTCTCTGCTGCTTCCCACTTGGTACTTGGCTTTTATCTTAAGGGCACTGTGAACTACATGGGCCAGGTTTCCATCTGTGTTTTAGGAAACTTGGAGCCAACGTGTTTGCCTTTTACTCCATACATCAGAACATGTTGTATAGCAGACCTCAGAGCTAGATTAGCTTAGACCACCATTTCTGTTTTCTAACTTTTTATGGTGAATCTGGTGAACATTTACAGTGTAGATCAATTTTCTTTTCAACAATTCATCTACATTATAACATCACTTAATCCACTTCCTCCTTGGTTTTTTTTGTTTGTTTTTTTCCCCCCAATCCTCCTTTCCTAACTCTTCTGAACTTTGTCTTTGGGTACACATTGCCCTTTTGATCTCAAATGTTTGATTATCCTAAGGTGTTCATGTCTCCCTAGAATTCTTTTTCCCTCATAGGCCTGTCTACTGTTTGGCTGTTAGTTAAGCCTTGGAGGTGAATTCATTTCTAGAACCGGAGGATGACTAAATAGACCACCATTTCTTTTTGACTTCTCGCTCTCTCTTTCTCAGTCAACTTTCAATTAAGTTACATGTATGCATTTATCTGTATAATCCCTTTTAGATTATCTCGGCAGTAAAAACATATACAACACAGTAAGTGGTAAAAATGGCTTCAGGTATACACACCATGTGTGTAGAATTACATGTGTCATAGTTCATTCTAGACATAAAACTTACATTTACACATTTCAAAATTCAGTCAATGACTTGTTGTTGCTGTTGCTAAGTGCCTTTGAGTTGGTTCTGACTCAGAAAGACCCTGTATAGGTTTGAACTGCCGACCTTGTGGTCCAGCGCATTGTCATGCTGATGGTATCTTAGGAGATTTGCTTAGGAAGCAGTACTAGGTGACATAACTCACCTACCCCAGTAGTGTGATCTCCCTTTGGTCCTGTGTAGGAGGTGGGAGTCTCTCCTCTTCTCCTGTGCCAGCTGCTCCGGTTTCTTCTCTCCTGAGTAAAGGCACATTCATCTTGTTCAAAAGTACACTCTCCAGGTGGAGGTGGAGGCCTCTCTGCAAGGAAACAGCAGGTGTTGCAATTGCTGAGGCATTTTCAATAAATCTGGATCTCATGGCTCACTGGGAGTCTGCCGTGCAGGTGTGTGTGCAGGCTAGCCATATGCTCTGCATACGGAGAGGCAGCCCCTCACTGGCAGATAGCCTACCTCCGCAGAGTTCTGGGTACTGCCACAGGGGTGGAGAGCTCTCACAAAGCCAGATCAAAACTACTGGGATACTGTATCTGAAAAAGAAACTTGCCCTGACTTGTGAATTTATTTGTGTAACTGAGCTGACAAAGCCTTGAAAATTGAAGGTACACTGCCTTTATGAAAATATGGAAAGCCATACATTTGCACAATAGAGGAATGTTCTTCAGAAATCCAGGCTGAGGGAAGGGATTCTGTGGTTGCTTTGGATGAGGCGGAGAATGTGAGAAAACGATCGTATGTGCTTCTGGGGGAGGCACTGCTGTGAGGGGCACATGACATTATTTCTCTGGGCTTCAGCATTCTTGCTTTTCCCTTTACATTTTATTAATTTTGTTGCTGAGAATATACACAGCAAACATACACCAACTCAAGTTTCTGCATGTACAACGCAGTGACGCTGATTACATTTTTGGAGTTGTGCCAATTCTCACCCTCTTTTTCTGAGTTGTTTCTCTCTTATCACCATAAACTGCCCTTTAAGGTTTCCATCTAATTTTTCGAGTTGCTGTTGTCAATTTAATGTGCCTCAGTAATCTTATCTGCAATGTGGGAATATTAATAGTGCCCACTCCACTGGATGGTGAGGATTCAATGGGATAAATGTATGTAAAGTATTTATCTGATGTTCCCAATAAGTAACAGTAAAAAATAAATATTAGGATTCTGTGTTGTGTCACTTGGAGTCTCATTTTCCATTTCCAAAGGCAAAGATCTATGTGTTTGGATGCTATCTGTGCCAATATTAGTAACTATTATCACTAGAATGGTGTCACCTCCTAATGTATTAGGAACTTCTCTTTTTGTTGAATTTGGTTGTATCTCCTTCCATCTAAATCCTTAACAAATTTCTCTACTAAATAACCTTTTTAAGAGAGCTTTTGCAAGATAATTATTTCACTTCATCTTATTTTATATCTGGTACAAGCTAATGAAGTTTCTTTCCCTCTTCTATGTGTAGAGGTTTTTTTTTTTGTTTTTATCATTCTCTTCTTTGCTTTTGTCTTGCCTTGTAAAGCAAGGGACTAAAAACTTACAGTCTTTAATGAAATAAAACAAAAGCACTCCATTGTTGTCATGGATTCTGACTCACATTGACCCTAGAGAACTATCCCATAGACTTTCTAGACTAAGTCTTTATGGAAGCAGACTGCCAAATGTCTTTTGGAGGGACTGGTGGGTTTGCGTCAGCACCTTTCACTTAGCAGTCAATTGCTTTAACCATTGTGCCACCAGGGTTCCTTTTTATTGAAATAAATATGGAGATTATTCTCCAGTGCCATTGCATGTTTGTTAAAGAAATGGATAGATACTGCATGATTTAGGATGCAGTGGTAATTAGTAACTACTGCATTGAGTTATGTGCCATTTTCTTCTTAGACATAATGTCCAACACATAGCCAACTATAGCCATCTTAAATCCTTGGTAAATTGTACCATTGTCATTTAATTCATTTAGAAAATGTTTCCATATTATAATTTTAGTATTATATATTTACCGTAGAGTTTATGTAATCAGAATTTTATCAATATTGTTTGAACATCTGTATTCACACAAGATGATTACAACAATACCAACACTATTGATTATAATAAAAGGTACTTGCTTTTTAGGGCAGTTTTCTGCCAGGCTTTATGCTAGGAAATTTGTATGTATTTATCTCCTATATTCAGATTGTTGTTGTTGTTGATGTTAAGTACCATTGAGTCGGTTCCAACTCATAGCGACCCTGTATAGGGTTTCCAAGGAGCAGTTGGTGAGCTTGAACCACTGACCTTGCAATTCAAACCGACCTTGCAGTTTACCTCATTAACCTGCAGTGCCACACCAGGACTCTTACTATCATAATTTCAGGATGAGGACACAGAGATTATCATGTGCAAAATGTCACTCACTGAATTAGAGTCATTATTTCTGAATCACAAAGCTTGCTACACAGCCTTGCAGAGATGCACTTCTGGCAAACCTAGCATAAAAGCATAGGATGGATCAGCACAGACTAAATGTATAATCTATTCTTAACAGAGAAGAAACAAGAAATGCCACTTATAGGCATTGGGCAAAGAGAGTTGAGATACCTATATCATACCTGGAGACCAGCAGCTTCCCAGTTGTATAGTAATGTCATCCAAGGCTACAAGACCACAGTCCCAGAAGCTCTTGCACAGGCTCATGAAAACGACCTACAATGCATAAAAAAGAAAACTACGAATTTTATTAACTGGAAATTAGAAACTCATAATCTGGTATTTACTTAACAAAACAAACATGCATAAACAAATAATCAACACCTCTTCACTGTCCATACAGATAACAGAACACAATGGCATGAACAATGGAAAACATTTATATATGGTCCTGAAATGACTTATATCAATTTTTAAAGCAGATTCAACCATATTATGTATATTCAACCAATATATGGTATATGTTGCTGCTGAAATTAGTTTTAGTTCTTTAAATAATTGACATTATTTTTATTCTTTAAATAAGAGTAAGGAAAGCAAGAAGTCAGTTGGGTGGCAGAAGAAATCTGCCAGGCTTTAAATATTTCCCCCAGATAATCCAAAGAGTGCATACAGACTCAATGGTTCTCTAAGCATTTTTACAAAACATTTCCAGTGTAAGCACTACTAATTTTTTGAAAATGACTTTCAGGCAATGTGCTTCATTCATATTGTGAACAAAGCCCCAGTGATTTGTTATCTGGGGACTTATGCGCCATTTCCAAAGACAAAGATCTATGTGCCTGGTAATAAAAATCCCCCACACGGTTATTTTAACAGGCCAAACATTTTTATTGTTTTATATGAAAGGAAAATAAACCCATACCATAAATTATTAAATTCATGGTTCCAGAGAGAGAAAAAAGACTTGATTTCTTTCCTTTAGGTCAAGTCTAAATTCTACTTTGCGTATATAAGATGAGGTGAGAGCATGTTTCAAAAGATTAATATGAGATTTTCTATGTACCTTGTGGTTTACAAAGCGGTCTCCCATATAGAACCTAGTGTTTAATTAGCACAAAGTCACACAGTACATGTACAACCTCAAACACAAATCTGAGCTCAAACAAAGACAGAGGAAGAAAGATCAAAGTCTAAAACCCCAAATGTAACTAATGAGAACATTTGAGTTTGGAGGGGTTCCCAAATTCAAAAGTAATTTCATCAAGTTTATCTGTGCTACCAGAAGGGTGTCTTTGCTCATTTATGATAAAATCCATCAGAATGTAGAATTTATTATTATTAGAAATAAAATTATGTAATGGTTTAACAGTATGCCAAAAGTCAAAGCCGATTCATAGTGACAGGGTCGAGCTGTCCCATAAGGTTTTGTAGGCTGTAATCTTTATGGAAACAGATTGTCACAGCTTTCTCCCACAAAGCAGATGGTGGGCTCCAACTGTCAACATTTTGGTTAGCAGCTAAGCGCTTTAACCATGGCACCACAAGGACTTTTGTACTTTATTAAGAGAGAAAATTTCTTAAATTTTATTTTGCTAAAATCTTCAAAATAACTAATTGTGTGAAGGAGCTCTGGTAGCATAGTGGTTATGAGTTGGGCTGTTAAGTTCAAGGTCAGCAGTTCAAAACTACCAGTCGTTCTATGGGAGAAAGATAAGGCTTTCTGCTCCCGCAAAGTTTTACAGTCTTGGAAACTCTATACAGTGTGGCTATGAGTTGGAACTGACTCCATGGCACACAACCACCATCCCCATTACCAAGATGTGTGAAGGTTTGTTTGCACTGTCTTCATGCTGCATTGAGTTATAAAAAGGATAGTTTGGAGATATAACAATAAATTATATATGTACTTCTGGTGTGGCTCTGGAGGATCAATACTGGACTGCGAACCACAAGGTCAGAAGTTCAAACTCACCAGCTGCTACTTGGAAACCCTATGAGTTGGAATCAATTCAATGGCACTTAACAACAATTAACAATTAACTCATGTAGTATATTTATAAAAAACAAAAAAAAATGGGGTGATTAAAAAAAATTTCTCTTAATTTTCCCATTTCATAGATTGTCAAGTATTATCTAAATATGCAGAATATTTTGCTGGAAGAAATTATGCCTGGAAACATTCTCTATTTTCAAAGCAAAGATCTGTGCCATTAGCCCTTAAATTCAGTTTACATTTTTGTTGGCATTTTTTTGTTTGTTTGTTGGTACAGGGGAAGGAATAATTATCTATTTTATAATTTACTGAATTAACTGTGCTTTGGAGAAAAAAGTTTTGGATTTCCTTCCTTTAGGCAGCTGTAATGTCTGTTTTTTTTTTTTACATGTATAATAAAAAAGTATATTTGCAAAATGAATATGTGATAATGAAACATGATTCACTATATAAATCATTATCTGAATAAAATTCACACTTGGCATGGTGATCTATTCTAAAGAGGAAAAACATTAACATGCTTTTTATATGTTTACTAAAGCATTATTTTATTATGACCATAAAACCAAGCCAGCCAGCCAGCAAGCAAATAATCTAAAATTTCAGCAATAGAAGAGATAGATTACATGGAGCAACAATCTAACAAATAGTTTTAGATTTGATAGTTTATGCATATCATTCAGTAATTTAGAAATATATTCCTCTCATTTGTTGTCTCAAAATGTTATATAAAGAAAAAGCTATGTAAAGTTGCGGATCACTCATCTAAAAATACATTGGAAAAAACGTGGGAAATTTTATCAGAATTAGAATAATTATATTAGACTCATGGAACTGTGTAGTCCTGTTGTGGTGCTGTAGGATAAGCACTGGACTGCTAACCATAAGATTGGTAATTCAAATCCACCAGCTGCTTCTTGGAAACTCTATACAGGGTCATTATGAATCGGAACTGTCTCATTGGTACTTAACAACACTAATGTGGAATTACTGGCATTAAGCAGAATGTCTCCCTATTTTCTAAACATTTTATAATTTTGTTATATTTATAATAGGAAATAAAAGAACCCCCCCCCCCAATAGTATCTCTAATTAAGATGTGAATAATGAATTGTTTCCTAGATTGGCACTGTCTAATATATGGACTCACCATGTGTCAGAACTGACTTGAAGGCAACAGCTTTGGGTTTAGATAAGCTATGTGTGACTATTTAAATTCAAATGAACTAATATTTAAAAATCAAAAAAAAATTTTCAGTCATAGCAGCCACATTTCAAGTGCTCAAAGCCACTGGAATTTTGGTGCTATTCATAAGGTTTTCATCTTCTGGCACTGTATCTGACAATGTTCCGTTGCTATTCATAAGGTGTTCAGTGGTGTGGCACTGTAGGATAAGCACCGGACTGCTAACAACAAGGTCAGTGGTTCAAATCCACCAGCTGCTTCTTAGAAACCCTATAAAGAACTGACTTGATGGCACTTAACAACAACAAGCATTCAGAAGTATTCCGCCTCTCCTTCTTCCTAGTCTGTGTCAGTCTGGAAGCTCAGCTGAAACCTTTCCACCATGGGTGTCTTTGGTGGTATTTAAAATAATGGAAAATAGCTTCCAGCATCACAGCAACACGGAAGCCACCACAGTACAACAAGCTGACAGACGAGCAGTGGTTTCAGACCTTAGGTATTGGTGATATTTAAAATTTTTTGCTGTGATGGTTGTTGTTGTTAAGTGCTGTTGAGTCAGTTCCGACTCACAGCAATTCTGTATAGGGTTTCTGAGGTTCTGAAGTTTCTCAAGGACTGCTGACCTTGAGATTAACAGTCCAGTGCTTATCCTACAGTGTCACAAATAGGGAGGAAATGGAGATATATATATATAATTATTTGTAAACAAATAATTTTAAATACAGCTTTGTGAAGTTCAACAATATTACTAACCTTACTCTTTATCTTACTGAAAATGGATAATGCACATCACATATTCTTTGTATACAGCAGGGTTTTCAGCTAGATAATTCTATGTTGTAGGGGACTGCCCAATACACTGCAGGATGTTTAGAAGCAACCCTGGTCCCTACCCACTAGATGCCAATATCATAAAAAAGTTGAGACAACCAGACATTGTTGAATGTCCCTTGGTGGGTACAATAAGATAGGATGCCATAGTTCAATATTGTAAAAAAAGTACTGTATGGCTTTAAAAACCTGTACTAAACTCCTATAATGTGTAAATCCCATGCTAGGCCTTTTGCTGCTCAGTTCTCTGTTGATTTCAATGTTTTCATTCTCCTCCCTCAAAACAGTTGTTGATGTTAAGTGCTGTCAAGGTGGTTCCAACTCATAGCAACCTCATATAGGGTTTCTGAGGCAGTAAATCTTTGTGGGATTAGAAAGCCTCATCTTTCGCCCAAGGATTTGCTGGCGGACTCTGTCGACCTTGTGGTTCACAGTCCAATACTTATTGTACAGAGCCACTGCATTCAACAATAGGACAATAGCTAAAAAAAAAAAAAAAAAAAAAAGTTTCCATTGAGTTGGTTTTCTCTTCCTCCGCACAGCAACAGGTCAGGTGGTTTTAAACAGTAGTGAATTATCCACCAGCCCTGGAAACAAAAGGCATGGGAACCAAAAGCATAGAGGCACAATCCACAAAGTGCATAATCATCTCCTGGATTATCAGGGCTTTACTGTTCCAATCTCTGGCTCAGAAAAGTGCCATCAACTTATGTTAAAGCATGACAGAATTCTCCTTTGTTCTCATCTTTCTCTTTTTCCAACAAGAATGATCTACACTCTCAAAATAACATAATCATAGATGGCAAGCACTAAAAGGTAACCAAGCTGACTTCTCATAATATATAATTGTAACTCTCTTTTTGTGTGTGTGTGTGAATCAACAAGCTTTTATTTTCATATGTAAAGATTCTGTAAGCATAGCATAGTCAGTATTATAACAAAACTAATTTTTATGGAGAATGCTCTTAATTTATCCAGGCAATTAATATTGCTTATTTATAGATATGTATTTATAAAGACATATACTTCTGTATATACACATGATTTAGTTTATAATTTTTCTAAGCTAAAATTAGATCATTTATATTTTTCAAATTCCAAAGAAATACATTATAATATATTCAGTAAAATATCCTAATAGACATTTATATAATTGATATTTGGGATTCAGAAAACATAGTGCTTAAAAACTAAGACTCTAAAATAAGATTACTCAGAGTTCATGCTTAGCTCTAGAATTCAAGTGTACTCACCAAAAAAATG